CCCCCTCCCAGTGACTGCCTAGCTAGGGAAAGCAGCTGCCATAGCAGGTTTCTGGGACTTGCCCGTTGCTGCCAATCATGGGAGTCATTGCCCTTTTTGCGAGGGCTGGGGATGATGAATTCTCTCCCCGGCTGCCAGTTGGCGGGCCAAATTTGTGGTCAGTAGTTTGAATGTTATCCTTCCTCCTCCTTTACTTGCTGTGCCAAATCTTTTGGCGGAAAAGGGGTGACATCATTGGCCTGGCATGCAGTAGAAGCTTGCCAAGTGTGGCTCAATACGGTCAAGGTAGGCTTGGCTGTTTGAGCTTAGTACAATGCCTATTTCCAAGGAAGTTGTTGGAACAAGACTGGCATGGAGCACTTTGGGCCCTGCTGTTGTAAGTTTATCTGGGTTCCTGGTGGCATTGTTTTCAAGGTGGAGCTTGCTGGCATATGCTGGTTCCTTCCCCTCTTTTTTTTCTTCCGGTCACTACATCTGTACCTTTTGGGGTTCTTTGGGGTCACCTTTGGATATATTGGCTGAGCAGGGTTATAGTTAATTATAATACATCTGCAAATGTCAGGAAACATGGTCTTTGAGTGTAAACATGCATTGCACAAACATCAGGGAGCTTATGGCTATAGGGGAAGTCATGGGTATAGGGGGAGTCTTACATTTTCAACTCGGACCTCAAGGAGAGAAAGGTTAACAAATTTGCAGACAACTCCACAGCAGTCCTATAAATCAATTGCCAAGGAGGGACTAGATCTCCTTTTTTTTTTTTTTTTTTTTTCCAACTACCTCAGAAGACTTTTAGCTTGGCAGAACGGAATCTTGTGTTTCTTTTTGCAGTTTATCTCAAGAGCCAGATCTCCTCCTGTCCTAACTAGCCTGCAAGATTTTGGGCTTTGCAGCACTGAATCTTATGTTTCTTTTTGTGGTTTACTTTAGAAACTCTCTCAGCCTGCATTCACACCCGAGCAATGTGAAATATGTGCTTTTTCAGTGCGCTTTGTTTTGCACATGTAGCGCTCACCCCCAAAGGAGCCACTGGCATAACCTGGGTCATCTCTAGTCTTTCTAGGGGATTTGATCTTCCGCTGCCCCATTATCATTTAACCGCCCTCTTCTAGTGCCCACAAAGCTGATGTCCACTCCAATAATGCAATGCTGAATAACTTTGAATAAACGCCTTCATACTGGGGAGAGAGGGTATAGTGATCCTAGCCATCCTGGGTGCAATAGACTCACCAGACCTCTTAAGCATATCAGTGTAGATCCATTTGTGGTACAGTGACCGGTAATTGGAATAACAGATGAGCAGGGATGAGCGTAGATCCTCAGCAGGAGAGACACCAGACTTGCTCCTGAGGTCCAGTAGATTCTGAGTACCTTCAGCAGCCATCCATCTCCCTGGTTCTCCTCCTCTGGCAACAGCACAAGCCTCCTCCATAATAGAAAGCCCCAAGGAAACGCATCCCACACACCAGCCTCTGGCCAACCTCAGGCCTAGCCTGGACAGGATCCAGTCCTAATCCATGGCTGCTCCATACAAGGTCTGAGCACATGGCAATTCCCTCCAGTATATGTACCCTATCCCAGCATGCACCACTGGTTGAGAGAAACCCAGTGATTGGCTGCTGCACTGTACATACACTTACAATGTCTCTCATTGGATGTCACACTCCACCCAGAGGGGTACAGGCAATGCCAGACACCTGGAATTAACCAGATAAATGCCAGGCCGAGTACAGCTCAGGCAATCACTAAATGTCTAGTAGCCACCTCACAAAAGGTGATGGAGGCTACACACGTTTTGCATATTTTTACACTCATTCATAGTCGCGCGTTTTAATGAGCAGATTGTGGCACATTGATGTGAATAGACAGATGCGTGTTTTATGTGTGTAAAAATAATAACGCAGCAAACATGCATTTCCATTGACGTTTTATGGGGCCAAGAAGTGCAGAATCTGCAAAAAAGCAGCTCTTCAAGCAACGGGGGTTTCACTACAAGCGACATGACGCTCAGATGTGAGCATGGCCATAGAAGTGAATGGGAATTTTTTTTTGGGGGGGGGGGCAGTTTTTGTTTTATTGAGCAGAAAAAGCGCTAGAAAACGCTCTGTGTGGATGAGGGCTTAGTCTGATCGCAGATTTCAAGCTTAAAGCTGGCCATGCATTAGTAGAATTTTGTATTTGGAACTTAGTATTTGGAATGTTTCTTCAATTTTCTAATTGTAAATCACTCGCCTCAATACAATTAATTCGCCGAGAAGTGAGTGAACACATACCGTCGCTCGCTTCCTGATCATCTCCCTGCAGAGAGCGGTGACTGTCGGTCACTGCTCCCCACAGGGATTACCCCCTCCCCGATCCTCCAGCGCTGACTGGAGGAACAGACGTGGAGGGGGCGGGCACAGCTGGCTCTGCCTCTACATAGGCAGAGCCCGCTGTCAATCAGCCAGCTATCGTCGGGATCCGTCCCGTCTGCGGCGCTCTCAGTATATAGCAGGCAGTAGGCCGCTGAAACACACCTGTAGTAGGCTGAGTCCGAAGTGGATCTTAGGCTGAGGAAAGGCGAAGACGTGGTCAGGAAGGCAAGGTCAGCAACAGTCTGGCAGCGAGGTACAAAGTCAGGATCCAGGAGAGTAGTCAGGAGGCAGGCTGAGGTCATGATACCATCGGGCAGCAAGATACAAAATCGGCAGACAGAAGAATGGTCAGGAAACAGGCAAGAGTCACGGTGTAAATCCAGCATATAACACAGAGGCAGGGGTCAAACTGACAATCAATTTTGTCTGTAGAGATTAAAACCTGCGTCGACTCCCTGCTGTACATTGAGCTCTGCTTGCCAAAAGCAGGGCTAAATGTGCAAAAAAAGCTACTCACGCGGCGGCCGAAACTGCATGTCCCGGGTGATGGGAATACCACACCCTTGTGTAGGATGAACCCGTGACCATCTAGGCGTACACCAGAGGGAATTGCATGGTGCTGTGGAAGTAGTTTTGGTTCAGGGTGCCACTTGCTCCGTGCAAGTCGCAGACTCTGGATCCAGCAAAAGAGCCCCGAACCATCATGCTTCCTCCCCCATGTTTGACAGTTGGTGTCCGACACCGAGGAACCATCCTTTCACCTACTCGACGGCTTACAAAAACCATGTGTGATGACCCGAAGAGCTCAAATTTTGATCCATCAGTCCATAAGACCGTCTTCCAGTCTTTAGTAGTCTATTGGCAGTGCTTCATGGCCCATATTCTGACTCTTGATTGTTGTATTAGCAAATGTATCCCTTTCTGAGACCTCCTATGCCTGGCCTGTATAATCACTGCGAACAATCCTTATCAGGTAGCTGAACTCGCCAAATACCTTTTCATCCACAAACTGGATTTACTTCAATACAACCCCACGCTCCCTCCTGCCCCTGAACGCAGGGAGTCGGCCGGCTTGCATTTCAGTGCGTTCTAGAGGTGCCGGCATCCTGTCTTCCCGCGGAGTCCCACAAAGTCCTCAATCTCTTTTTTTTTTCTGCAGCCTCTGTTCTAAATGAATGGAAAGCACAGAGGCTTCCCATTCATTCAGAAGCTATTTACTATCATCCAGTTTCTGAATGGGGAGGAGCTTCTGTACAGAGTGCTACTCCCCATTGAGAAACTCATTAATTAACAGGAAGTGATGAAAAGCACTTCCTGTTCATTCCTGGGGACACATAGTACTGTGTCCCCAGTTATTTACAAACACTGGAGTGATCAGCTGATCGCTCCAGTGTTTGTCCTGCACAGAGGATTGTTACATATCACTGATATGTACCGATACTCCGCTGCTCTGCCACGCACACCGGTGGACTCAGCCTGCAACTTCTCTGGATCCTGGAGCGGAGGACAGAGCCCATGGCCGAGCGGTGAGGAGAGAGCCGCCGGCTTTCAGATCCTGGCCGTGCGTCTCTCTCTCTCTCTCTCTCTCTTCACTGCTCCGCCATGCTGCTGGGACAGCGGCTCCCTCCTCCGCTTTGCGATCGACTGGTAGATCGCGATCGACCAAATGGGCACCCCTAGTCTAAACTATTTGCAAAGGTGTATTGCTTTCTATAATGCGCTAGCAATAGAACCATTCCTAATCAGGGTGTTGTATGCACATAAATAGTCTGACAAATTATACATGCCTTTTTGTTTGAGATTTAGCTTAAAGTGACATTAAACCCTCAGATTTTTTTACATAAACCAATACTGTAATGTGTGCCTTACTGTAATCCATGGTTGTTTCCCTGCTCTTCCTTTTAAATCCTCATGTCTTCTCATGGTTGGGGAGAACTTCCCTTTGCAGCTGAGTGCCTCTTCCTGTAGTGCTGGCTCAGGTTGTGAACCTTCACACAGACACCATGTATCCATTTCAGAGACAAGGCAATCTGCTGCAAAACAGAAGTTCTCCCCCAGCATGAGAACAGATACAGATTTAAAAGGAAGAGCAGCAAAGAGAAGGGAAACAACCATGGATTACAGTAAGGTACACATCACAGTATTGCTTTATGTTAAAAAATCTAAGGGTTTAATGTCACTTTTTAATGTTGGTTTACTTTGAATGTAACCCATTACACTGCTGATGGTTTTTATCTTTGCTTTCAGGTTGTTCAGTTGCATGTCTGTCCACAGAGTCTCATGTTCAGGAGTTGTGTCGAATTGAGCATGTTTGTTGTGCTACTCTTGGGGTGAACCGGAAAAATATCTGCAATTTTGAAGTGGAATATTTGTGTGACTATAAGAGGGTGCAGGTAAGTCTACTGCTAATCCAGACCCTTCATCTGCTTGTAGGGTTTTCCTTGTTAACAGAAATTTGTGTGTGTCTTCGTTAAAGGGACTTACAAGTGGAACTGTGGTGGTGAACACTTTAACTGTTGCCATGGGATCAGCATATAAGGCTTTATACGCTACCAGGACTTTGCAGATCCCTTTCGGACCAGCAGAGAGCACAGTGAAATTAGACCTCACAAGAGTATGCAGTGCATTGAAATTGCACCTCATTTATTGTGTATTTACTCTACAGGAGGAGGAACTGTACCTTGTGAAGTGGAAAGGCTACCCGGATTCTGAGTGTTCATGGGAACCACGTCGCCATCTCAGATGCTTCAACCTCCTTCGGCAGTTTCACCGGGATCTGGAACGAGAGCTGCTACGAAGGGCAAAGGCTGCCGGAACATCAACCAGTAAAAAAGTAGTTGGGCGCTGCCCCCGCAGACTAGATTCCAGCCTCTCACACTATGTGGTGCTTAAAGCGAAGCAAAGGCAACGGCTCCGTTTGTGGGAGCAGAAGTTGAATTCCAAACGGGCCCATCCAGGCCTTATAACAGTAGAAAATGAAGTGGATCTAGAGGGTCCACCCAGAGACTTTGTGTACATTAATGAGTACAAGGTTGGGGAAGGAGTGACCATTACCAAGTCTGCTGTAGGGTGCAAATGTCGGGACTGTTTCACAGATGAGAGAGGATGCTGTCCTGGAGGTTTCCAGCACAAATTTGCTTATAATGCAGATGGACAAGTGAAAGTGAAACCTGGCTTTCCAATTTATGAATGCAACTCCCTCTGCCGATGTGGCCCGTCTTGCCCAAATAGAGTGGTGCAGAAAGGAATCCAGTATAAATTCTGTATTTTCAGGACCTCTGATGGAAGGGGATGGGGTGTGAGGACACTGGAGAAGATCCGCAAAAACAGCTTTGTAATGGAATATGTGGGAGAGGTAAGATGGTATACACTGACACTTGATCTTTACTCTCTTGTGAGTGCTTATTCATAAGGAAGATGATTTTTTTTTTATTTTAGACCCATAGCCTCAGTTTTGTCTGTTTTTAATGCTGGCAAGGCTGCTAATCTGTATCTTAGCAGACTTAAGACTAGGGCTGCAACTAATGATAATTTTCATTATCATTATATCATCACTAATCATCTATTGGCCGATTTTTTTTTTTATTTTTTTTCGATTTAATCAGATAAAAATGTAAAAAAATAAATACTATCCTTAATTTAAAATGAAATACACAATTGCAGTGTTACAAACATATAGTTTACTGAATAAAACTCCATGCACAAGTTTTTGCAATCACACTGCACTGGAACGCACGGCGTTGTGGTACCGTGTGTTCCAGTGCGGGCAATCACACTGTGGGTGGGAGGTGTGTTTGGGGTGCCATTTGAAATGAATGGCACTGCAACGCACCTCCCGCCGCAGAATTTCTTAGTCCTTCTTTTTTTTTTTTTTACTTTGTGTATTATAAGCACATGGCACTTGAATAGCTTCAGCCAGGGAATGACAGCTGCCAGTGGCAAGATTCTGCATACGGCAGCTGAATGTAAATACAGCAGGTAGGTGGCTGGTGCAATAGCCAGCCTGCTTTTGGCCTTTTCAAATTGCAACAGCCATTACCAGACTGGGTATTGCACCCGCCCACTGCTTGCTGTACCCTTCTCCCACCATGGAAGAGAGATCTAGGGGATCCAACCAACTAATCAATAATGAGAATAGTCGAAAACTATTCTCAACGTTTATTGATTAGTTGGTCACAGCCCTACTTGAAACTGCTATAAAGAATAGCTTGGCACATGTGGCTGCCCATCTTCTAGGGACATTGTAAGTCAGTGGAAGCCGTGCTGTGTCTGCCCCAATCTGGACAATTGCTTAGAAGTGGAAGTGACTACCCACAGGTTTTTAAAAAATCTTTCCACATTTGTTTGTAGCAATTGAAACTCCGAAATGTTGTGTTTCCTGAAATTACTTTGATAGGCTAACCATTTTAAATGTAATTTGAGTTCAGTGGAGTTTAACCGCAGTGTTTTAGAATTAAGATGCTGTGCTTGGTGTTCTCTCTATACTGATATTGCTTTAATTTAATATGACCTCCTCGGAGCTTGCATCTTTACAAATTTGTCAGGAGTTGCAGATTCAGTTTTTGTTTTCAAAAGTAATTTTTTAAGATGTTTAAAACATTTGTCACAAAGCAAATACGTGTACGAGAAGCTTTAAATGAAGGCTGCTATGGTTGGTTTCTTAGTTTGCATACTATTTTTGGGGCCATAAATGTAAGGAAATAGCAGCTTCCATCTGTGGCTTTTTGAACAGGTGTTTGCCTAATGATTCATTCCACGTTAGTGGTAGTTTGGCTAAATTTGTTTTTTATAAAAATAGCTACAGAATATTTAATAAAGTTCCCCCACTCAGTTGATAATTAAACATGAATAGTTAAAGGTTGGAATAATTCCCTGTAATAGTTGTACCTCAGTGATGTTCGCCATGAGCAAACTGTTTCTCCAGGTAGAAGAGAACTTTGATTTCTCAACTTTGCTAGGCGTAATACCCACTTTAAGGTAGACATGTTTGCACTGTACCACCTCGGATGACAGCTGGTTTTCTCTTCAAATACAAACGTTCCTGAATGCGAGGTGTCACATGTAGCTTGCATGCAGCATTTTAAATCAATAACAATGTCTTCTGCAAATTCCAGTTCCATTGCAAGTCCAAGAGGTATAGGTCATTTTGATGTGATTTACAGCTGTGCACATAAATTGTCTACCGATTCCCACAACATTATGTGATCAGGGATTGAATGCAGCAGCAACACATGGTTTTGTTGCAAATGCAATGGAATTTGATGAATATTGTATCAGAGCTCCTGATCAATGAGAGTTTGTAAACTTGCACAGTAGATTACATTACCTATGTTGGTTGGACTGCAAGCAACCAACATCGGTGCGATCGGACACGTGGCAAAACTTTTGCCAGCGTTGCGTTCCACTGCAAGCACAAAAAATAGAGCAAGCCCTATTTTTTGCGTTTGCACTGGAATGGAACGCTGGCAGAGTCTTGCCACATGTCCGATCGCACTGCGGGGGGGCGTGGAATTGGTGCCATTAAATTCAATGCACCGCCACGCCCCCTCCCACCCCAGAACGCGGGGAGAAGTTTCTTGGCGATTGCGGTGCGTTCCAGCAGCTACCGCTCTGGAACGCACACGCTTTCGGTGTGAACAAGGCCTGAGATTGCAGCTTAATTGTCTCTGTCTGTGCACAATCTTTTCCAAGTCAAACAAATGTATCCATTGTGCTGCTGACACTTGTCAGTGTGTGCACCACATCTCTTCCGAGACATGAAAATTAAACAAAGGTATACTTTGAGCTGCTGGCACTGTAGCTGTTTAGGAGTTCTCCCAATGTAGCTACTAATGTCCGCAACAGAATATACAGGATCAGTCTTGTATCTCGGAAGAGATCGTGCAGACAGACCAGCTGAAGTCCCAGCAGCCCACTGGATTTTTTTTGTCCCATTCATGCAGTTTTACATTTGTTTCCAAGTAGTGCTTATTACTATCTTCCTTGTTAATTTTAATCTTGCAGCTTTTTGCTTTCTTTGCACTAATTTAAAAAGTCATCAGGAGCACTTCTAACATTTGTGACCGAGAAACATTCACCTCTTGCAATTATCAGCCTGAAATAACGCTCGATTTGCACTTCTGTTGCATGCAGTTGCAAAAAAAAAAAAAACACTGCAAAATGAATTTGACTGTGCGGCAGAAATGCACATTGTTCAGCTTTAAGAAAAATATTTGAGACGCTGCCATTGTCATACTTGCAAGTTGCATAGTAGTTCAGGGTATAAAACAGTTACTCCCTTTGCACGAATGCTGAACAGGTCTTACTGCCCTAGAACTGCCTTGTAGCTTGTGAGTAAAGGTGGCCATACATCTTACAACCATTGCACAACTTTTTTTTGTCCAGACATTCCATCCTCATTCAATTTTTGTTCAACTAGCCCATCAAGGACAGACCAATGCAGTTTGCAATTAACGTTCGTCAGCACCACTAACTGCCTGATTTTTCATTGATTGAAAGAACAGATTTTAGTGTTGTTTATTTTTTCATCCAACTAAATTTTTCTAGCGGCTTGAAAGACAAAAATCTGCCAGTTGTACAGTAATTGAGGTTGTGCACTTCCCATCAACTGGCAGATTTTCGGCTGACAATGCGATCGTAGACAAAAATCTCCTGATAATTGTAAGGTGTATGGGCACCTTAAGACTGTGGCAGCCTATATCAGAAAGGTATTTTGCTTGCTAAGCTTTCCCTTTGGGCTCGCCTTATGCCAACACCCCTGGCATTCACAAGGTAATGGATAAAACTTGCAGGACGGGTGAGGGGGATTGATATATTGCTGGAGAAGAGCTTTAAACCACTGCTAAAGCCATAGGATGCATTATTCTGGCTTGGTTAGCACCTCCTCCTGTTTTACAGAAATATATATATATATATTATATATTATGTGTGTAGTTGGGTGTTCTCTGCAGATGTTTTACCTAGTCTGTATTCCAGATAATCACTTCTGATGAGGCGGAGCGTAGAGGACAAATCTATGACCGACAGGGGGCAACTTATCTGTTTGATCTGGATTACATTGAAGATGTTTACACCGTAGATGCTGCTCACTATGGAAATATATCGCACTTTGTCAACCACAGTGTAAGTATGACCTCTGCTTTTGAGACCATTATGAGCAGCGTATAGAATTTGAAAAATGAACAGGCAGTGTCCAGCTACTGCAAATCCACAAGGCACATCTGAACAAAACTAGCTTGTGTTCTCCCTAGTGCATTTTTGGTGGGCGTTCTGCCCAGTTATTTTTGGCTACCACCCTGTGGCCCTCAGGCTCATTTGTGAGCCTGGGACCACTGTAGGGGGGGATTCAGGATGGAGAGCAACAGGAGAATGGTGAACTCGCTTGACAAACCTTCCCTATGATAATTAACCCTGCAAATGTACATCTCTAAGTGTTAAAAAAAAGAATTCAAAGACTACACATACATATGTAAACGCCAATATATGTATATTATATATTATGTGTGTAGTTGGGTGTTCTCTGCAGATGTTTTACCTAGTCTGTATTCCAGATAATCACTTCTGATGAGGCGGAGCGTAGAGGACAAATCTATGACCGACAGGGGGCAACTTATCTGTTTGATCTGGATTACATTGAAGATGTTTACACCGTAGATGCTGCTCACTATGGAAATATATCGCACTTTGTCAACCACAGTGTAAGTATGACCTCTGCTTTTGAGACCATTATGAGCAGCGTATAGAATTTGAAAAATGAACAGGCAGTGTCCAGCTACTGCAAATCCACAAGGCACATCTGAACAAAACTAGCTTGTGTTCTCCCTAGTGCATTTTTGGTGGGCGTTCTGCCCAGTTATTTTTGGCTACCACCCTGTGGCCCTCAGGCTCATTTGTGAGCCTGGGACCACTGTAGGGGGGGATTCAGGATGGAGAGCAACAGGAGAATGGTGAACTCGCTTGACAAACCTTCCCTATGATAATTAACCCTGCAAATGTACATCTCTAAGTGTTAAAAAAAAGAATTCAAAGACTACACATACATATGTAAACGCCATTTGCGTGACAAGTATTTGGTATTCCCATAGAATCTTTAGTTCATCATTTAGGTTGAACTCGTGTATTGTAATGCGCTATAAGAGCCCATTCACACCAGGGCGGTTGCGGATATCTCGCAAGGTTTTGGGCGGTTTTAATTGCGTTTCAGCGCTGAAAAGCAATTAAAACCGCACTGATCAGCCTGGTTCCATTTAAACCTGTATGGAAACTGCACTGATCAGTGTGGCAAAAATAGTGCAGGGAGCAGTTTGGGTGGGGGGCAGTTCGGATCGCGCGGTCGCATGAACGGTCCCGATAGCAATGTATGCGATCGTTCATGGCGGCAGATCTGTGCTGCCGAACCGCCCCGATGTGAACGGGGTCTTAAGGTTGTGTCTCCGAATTAAAATTATGGCCATTTTTATTTATTTACTTTTTGATTGGATTGCAGTTACCATGGTGCTGACACCAGCCATATGAAGACTTGAAAGTTCAGTTAAAGGAGAACTATGAGGTGAGTGCTTTTCACGCGCCTCATAGTTCTAGCCGACCTTTAACAATGAGACTGTCACAGGTCGGCTCAGTAGATCGGGAAGTGAGCGAACACATACCGGCGTTCGCTCACTTCTCGATCCTGTCACAGCTCTCTGCCGTGACAGGGGAGGGACTGGATTCCCCGATCCTCCAGCGCTGACTGGCGGAACGGACGGGGGAGGGGGCGGGTACAGCTAGCTCTGCCTCTACATAGGCAGAGCTAGCTGTCACTCACGCAGCTGGGCGGATCCAGACACAATTGTCAGGATCCGCTTCCACTGCGGCGTCTCAGTATACCGCGAGCTACAGCTGAGTATACTGAGCTTAGGGTGACGGGAGAACGCTAGTTTGTGTCCTCCTGTTACCCTAAGGAGAACTATGGGGAAAAGCCCTAACCCCATAGTTCTCCTTTTTTAAGAGCTGAAATAAGCACAGTGACGGGTTTGGTTTTTTAAAAAAATTAACTTTTTTTTCTTAAATAAAATGTTTATCTTTTTATTTTTACTTTTTTTTAACTTGGCCCCTGTGTGATGGCAATAAAGTTAACAAGCTAACAGGTTCTCTTTATGGAAGTGGGGAAGCCGACTGGGAAGAGTGACAACCTTACATGCCCACAAGTGATATGGGCGGCTGTACAGCCGCCCCCAGAATACTTGTACAAAGCAGCTTCCATGCTCTACATTTAGCCGTTTGCCCGAAGCAGGGCTAAATGTAGGGGGGGGGGGGGAAAAAAAAAAAAAGGCCATATGAATTCCACTCCTCCAGCAGCAATAATGGACACTGATGTTTAGTGGGTATGCTGTAATGCATGTAATTGGTATGCTGTTCAGTTAGTGATTACCACTGTTACTTGCTACATCTATGCATAGCGGTAATCACAAAGCTTCCCAAAGCAGATGGACAACTGGTTTGTACTGCTGGAGAGATCAAGTGGAAGAGACTTTTGCATTTTATTGTATTTTTTTTGTAATATTAATGTTATCCCTTTAAATTTGTGGGGCGTACAGGGGGATAGTGCCAGCAGATGTGGGCCTAATAGTGTACCAGAGCTGTAATATGTTTGATAACTGTGTATGCAGTGAGTATTTGATTTCTGTACACTTTTCTCTCCAGTGCAAGCCTAACCTCCAAGTATACAACGTGTTTATTGATAATCAGGATGAGAGGTTGCCTCGCATTGCGTTTTTTGCTACGCGTACTATCCGTACTGGAGAAGAGCTCACGTTTGACTACAGAATGCAGGGTAAATCACTTTTATTTTCATAATGTAATGGGACATCCTATGTAGCTCTTCAGTGAATTGAATCCGCTACTAAGCTGGGCAATGGAAACTGAACATTGTAGTAAAGAGGTTGCCTTCAGTAAAAGTGATCAATAAATCCGGGGGTGTAGGCAGCTGAAGTTGGATGCAGCTCTCAATGTCCCCAAAAAATGGGCTTGGGTCCTACCCCATGAGCCTTTCTATGAGATTATTGCGATAGCCTCAGTGACCATTAGGAAGTCTCTAAAAAGATGAGAGGGCCAAAGTTGAGTTTTGCATCTATTATTTTTTTTAAGTTTCGTTTTTCTTTTGATCTTCTGTTTTTAACATATGGTTTCCACTGAAAATGACTTCTATGTAATGTACTTTTATCACATGCTGAGCTTGAATTGCCTGGGTTTGTGCTAACAACTTTTATGGACATATTGTCTGAAGGAGCAGCAGAATTAGTCCTCATACATGCGGGCGCCTGAAGCCATACAACATAAAAAAAAAGCATCTTTCTCCACCCCATAGCCACAGCTGGTGGGACTGTATGTGGGTATGTGCCACTAATTGCATGAACATGTACAAGGGTCTCCAAACCCAAATGCAGACTGCATTCAGGGATGACCGTCTCTGCGCATGTTTATGCACAGGCATATATCTATGTATTGCCACATAAAGCCATTAATTTCTATGGGTCGGCTGTACGCTGCAGCTGTGGCTCGTGGGCAGGGAAATGCACCCCGATTTTTTTTATTTTTAAAAAATTACCTTTATGGCCTCATGTACCTGTGTGCATGAGGCCTAAAGTTAAAGCCTGCTATATTGGTTGAAGCTGATGTTTAATATAACCCAACCTTAAACAATCCACCTTGATCCTCACGGATGGCCCTCATTTTACAGGTTGTAGTGAAAACTGATTGCATTGTCTTTGTAAAATATTGTATGACCAATCTAACAGCATCCCACATACGCTCTCGGGATAAGTGTAGAGGTATGTTATGGGGTTTTGTTTTTTCTCTTGCAGTCGACCCAGTTGATGTTGAAAGCACGAAAATGGACACCAACTTTGGTTTGGCCGGCCTAACTGGATCTCCAAAAAAACGCACACGGGTGGAATGCAAATGTGGGGTAAACAGCTGTCGTAAATACCTCTTTTAAATGCGGATTACTACTGTCTGGACGGGCAACTCAGGACTGTTTTTGCCCTCAGTACTTGAAAGATCGGTTACCTGGAAAAAGCTGTTTACACCCCCTTGAGGGCTTTTCTTCTTCCATCCTGGCTTTGAGAAATTGGTGCTAAAGAATATAAAAATTTTTTTAATGTGAAAAAGATCTTTCATGCCCCTATGGCAGGCTTGTCGAATTACCTGACAGTGCATCTGCAGCGATAATACAGCCTGGAATTTTCTTTTTCTTATTTTACTTGAATATTTGCCACCCTGGCCTTTTTTTTTAATTTTTTTAAATTACGTCTCTGGGATACGATTACACATATTAGCCTCTGCTGTCCTGGGACAGATTTCAGTGTTCTTCTTTAATGAACAATCAAATGAATTTTTATAGATTACTGTTGTATGAAATATTACCTATTCGCTGTTTTATCTTTTTTAACCTTTTTTTTTTAAGTCTGACCCTTTTTAATGTAAATACAATAACATGTAATCTGAACTACCATGAGCAGTATTATTTGATATGGCTGAAAGGTCTTGATACTTTTTGCTTTTAGGCAACATTCTAACAATGCGTGACCTATTTTACAGCCCTACAACTTGTTTTACTATTGGCTTATAGACTGTTAGTATCTGAAATCTTGCGTAGAGTATGGCCTAAGGCAGAGGTAGGCATGCTTGGTTCTCCAGCTGTGCTGCCTCTGGGAGTCCTGAAGGTGGCTTGCAATGTCTTATGGGATTTGTAGTTTCAGCACAGCTGGAGAGCCAAGGTTGCCTACCCCTGGCCTAAGGGCAGTAACGTGCACAAAAAAACCTCAGATGTCCAAAAGCAATCCCAGGCAAGAGGATGGGGAAACAACTTGCACTTTAACAGTCAACCAGGTAGTATTAGGCCTGGCAGGTCGTAAGGCTGCTACAGCCACTCAATAAAACTTGGTAACCCAGGACCAGATGGAAGCTCTGCACACTTTTTGACATGAATCTCAACTGAGACTTGCTTTGTTTGCTTTGCTTTCTTTGTGTTTAACTACCTAGTTGCGGGTCATATTCACCTACTGGTTTACAATTTCCACCAATTAATGGAGAGACTGTAACATTTTAATATATAAAGAACTGTGGTGGGGGGCCTAGTCACTGTGAACTGTGGTGGGGGGGCCACCTAAACCCTTCCTGCTTTCAACAGCTGGCTTGTGAGTATTCAAGGTCTGGCCTTGTACCCTGGGCCATATTCTTCCTGCCTTGTGACCTTTGTCAAATCACAGACACAAGTACTAGTCTCAGGTGCCTACAATACAAGGTCCACTAATGGTTCCAATGCTGCCTGCAGTGCACCACCTAAAGGGACTGACACTGATTGCCTGGAATTTTGCCGAGGTGTTTATGGGCCAAATTGCAACTTTTGATTCTTTTGAACTTTTTGACTGACTTCAGAGGCTATAATCGTGCTCCCACGCCTTCCCCTGCATAATCCTTATCTAATATACCTGCTGAATTAGAAACCTCTGAGGCTTCAGCCAATCGAGACACATACAAGGGAAATATATCAAAACTGGAGCAGTTGCCCATCATAACCAATCAGCTTCTCTTTTCAGCTTGTTCAGTTAAGCTTTAAAAATAAAAGAGAAGCTGATTGGAGCAGTTGGCCATGGTAACCTATTGGCGTCTCTTATTTTTAAAGCTTAACTGAACAAGCTGAAAAGAGAAGCTGTTTGTTTATGATGGGCAACTGCTCCAGATTCTGTGTGCTCTAGTTTTGATCAATTCCCTCCCAGAATCTCCTAACCATTTGCTGACCGCGGTGTTTAGACCCTCTTCCTGGCCAGGCCATTTTTCAGTATTCAGAGCTGCAGCACTTTGACATTTATTCCTTCATGCAACGCTGTAGTGAAATACATTTTGTACCATTTGTGGGGGACAGATAGAGCTTTATTTTAGTGGCATTTAAATCACCACTGCAGTTTCTTATTTAGTATATAACGGAAAAATTACAGAATATTTTGAAAAGAAAGTTTCTCCCTATGTTATATTATGAAACATTTTTTTATTACCCACATTTTTGACCCAACGTGATGGGGTCACGTTGGGTAAATAGACACCAAACATGTTGAGTCCTAAAATTGTACGTGCAATAAACGACCACACCCAAAATTGGCCATAGGCGACGCTAAAAGCTTTTGCTGCTCATCAGTTCAGTGTTTAACAGTGATTGGCCCTAGAATTATTGCTTATGCTCCGACATTCACAGTTGTAACATGTGTGGCGCAATCGTCATCGTTGCACATAGGTGCACCCAACGTGTTTGTGTATGTGGGGGTTTTTCCCCCTCCACTTTATTGCTATCACATAGGGGGCTAACAAAGCCCCCTATGTGATAACCAATTTACAGTGACATGTCCTCTTCATGGAGACATCAGGGGTCTTTAAGACCCCTAATGTCACCTAAGGACCCCCAAAGAAGCTGATGAAGCGGAAATCTGCTTTTCTGGCTTCTGTAGCCGGAGAGTGACAGCTGAATGTGGAAGAGGAGATCAGTTTTCCTGCTCATGTGTGTGCTAGGCAGCACACACGAGTGGGGGCTGGAAAGGATGTTTTCAAAATTCAGTTCCCCAAGCTCTTAGATAAGTCTTTGTGCGCATGAAGGGGCACCTGTTAGCTGTCCCAGATTTTGGTCAGTCAGCTTTTTGGATGCTTGGGTGAGGAAGTTGGTTTCCAGGGCCTATGAGCTAGAATTTCACTCTTGGCCCCTCCAACCTACCCCTCAGGCGGCCTGCTTTTGGACATCAACAGTTTTGAACTCCTGTGCTCCTCTGAACAAAGAAAATGGGAGATTTATACTTTCTGTAAAATCTGTTTCTTTGAGTTCATTGGGGACACAGGTTCCACCCCTCTGTGTCCATGATCATGCTCTTGGTACTGCTTTCCCCCCAAACTGAGGCATGCTTGAAGTAGCTAGCGCTGACTGCTCTGTCTCTCCGATCCGGTGTCTGCAGGCGGGTGCACGCGTCCATAGACTTACCTTGCACCTATATGTGAAGTTTTGTAGAGGCATGGCCGGTAGGTATGACTCCTTTAAACACCCAGTCTTATAAAGTGCAAACAACAACTTGTTGATAACAAGCGCTTTTAAGATCTGCTTGTGTGAATATGTGTTGGGGCAAAAATACAGTTGGAACATGGCAGAGCAAAAACCAGAGACATACAACTATGCATCCTGATCTATCTGATCTCTGCAGGCATTGTACCCTCAACATCGTTGCAGACCTGATTTGGTAGGAGCTACTTTCATTTATTTTCCAGCACTTCATCTAGGAACACTGGAGGCCTGATTGCAAATGAAAGGGAATAAGAGTTGGCAGTATAGTATTATCATCTTCCTTACAGACATTAGCGGGGATTAAAGAGTTTATTCATAAGACATATACAGGAAATATAAATAGGAGTAGGTGATATGAATGAGTGGGGTGGCTGGGTATGGGGGTGAGCACAGTTCAGACAGCAAGACGGAAGACTTTACTTCTGTTCCCGTCTCCAGATAATCACCATCCCCTTTGCATCGCTGGAGGCCAGCAGACTCTCATCGCAGTTGAAACTGATCCCCAGGACGGCTGCACTATGTCCTTGTAGTTTATTTACAATGGCCTTGGTGGCCCGTTCCACATCAAAGAAATACACACACATATCTTCACTGCCGGTTACTGTAGAAAAGAACACACAAGGCTTAGTAGGTCAATAGCCCTCACACTCCATGCTCAAACCAAGGTGGTAAAACCAGGTGTGGCCCTGTAAGAAACAGGCTTTGGCTATACTGCTCCTCTTTTTCACAAGTGTTATAAAAAAAACACAAGTTTCCTCTACATCATTCGGCCTTATAAAACCTTGCCTTACCAGACCCATGTTAAGTGTATAGGGAGTCCGATGTAATAGGACATGTCCATTTACATCAGATTAACCCCAATCTGTCACTATCGGGGCCGGTAAAACTGTGGTTATCTGGTTTTCTGAGCCTCGGTGGAGTCGGAGGTAATCCGATCCAAACGGACACATGTCCATTAAGATCCTGCTGCCCAAAAGCTAACATTGGGCTTCTGATCTGAGCCACCTTAAAAACGGACAGACTGTCTCAAAGGGGCCTTGCTTGACCACCTTCAGGACTGTGGCTACATGCATTGGTGTTCAGTTTTTGGATTTATTTTTTTAACAATGCAGCAAGATTGAGGTCTCAACAGTGTCGCTAAAGCAGAACTATGGGGTAAGTGGTTTTTCCCCATAGTTCGAAGGGTAACTGGAGGACATATACTAGTGTCCTCCCGTGACCCACAGCTCGCGGTATGCTGAGACCGCCGCAGCCAGGACGGATCCCGACATTACTGTTGAGATCCACCCAGCTGCGTGAGTGACAGCGGGCTATGCCTATCTAGAGGCAGAGCCAGCTGAACCCGCCCTTGAGGGGAGGAAATCCCTGCAGGGAGATTGAGAAGTGAGCGAGCGACACTGTGTTCACTCACTTCCTGATCTATTGAGCTGATGTGTGACAGTTTAATTGTCACATGTCAGCTCGAACTATGAGGTTGAGTGACAATCACTCACCTCATAATTCTGCTTTAAGGCAGTCTGACTTGGCTTGCTAGACCCTAAACTACTGTTTGCATCCTAAATTAAAGTTGGGGGAAAACATATCTGGGGCACTATATAGTCTACAAGATTTTTTAAAAACTGGACTTTGTTTTTTGTGTTGGATAGGTGACAACTCGGCTAGCAGCAGTGTCAGAAGCCAGACTAATGCAGAGAAATTGTAGAGACATCTCAGAGATTTGGCCTAAAATGTACTTACCAACACAGGCTCCCTGCCGGAAGGACATTAGGGGGCAGAAAATACTCCTGATGGCGTTGCTGGTTTGTTGTATTGGGAAAGTACGTTTTAATTGTAGTGTTCCCTCATTATCCACAACCCTAGAAAAGATATTAAAGCAAAATTAGCGATCTTTACTCCAATTTTTTTTTGTAAAAACCATATACCTAGTATTTTGTCATGTGTGTTGGGAAGCAGAAGAAGAAAAAATAATTGCACACAAGCTGTATGGTTCAGCTCTGACCCTTCTAAAGCAATTACTAGCAAT